GGCGGGGAGAAAAATGCAACAGTGAATGAAGGGAAATCCAAAATCTCTGTAAATGTTGATTAAAATTAATAAAATAAAATTTTTTAAAAATCATATAGGGTACATGTTAAACTGGCTCACTTTTAAGATATAAAAAGAGCAGATTAGGCAGAGAGAGAAGATCCACATCACACAGAGATTCCCAAGGAATTGCAAGAAAGCCATCCTTTTCCCCAGCCAACAAAGAACAGGGCCCTCCCCAGACTCAGCACTTTAAATTCGGACTTCCAGTCTCACAAACTGCAAGAAAATAAACATCTGTTTTAAAAAAACTTTAAAAAAAAAAAAGAATCTGGAGTCTGGAGAGACAGCTGTGAGAGTAGCTAGGATCCAGGTCACTCTGGCTTCTGAAACCTCTGCAGAAAGACCTACTATGGAGAGAAAGTTGCCATCAGGGAGGTCACTTCTAGGAACACCTTCTATCCTACTAACAGACCTTCAGAACCTGAAGGAACCCTTCACCCCACCACCCTCCAGCACTTTGCTCATCAATTCACCAATAGATTGGACAAAGGCTCAGGTCACGTATTCTTAGAGGATGCACAAAGAGTTCCCAAGGGTGACACATTATGGCACAGGTCACTTTACATTCTCAGGGCTGCCTGGGTACACATCTGTGGACAAAGGGTGCTGCTCAAACACCTTCCTGTCTCCTCTTCCACAATCACCCTTTTCTCACTTTTCCAAAGAAAACATACTCCAAACCCATCACATGGTGCATTGACCTGGGGAAAAGGTGAATTTAAGTCCTCGTGTTCACATGGAGAAAAGGGGTGACTCTAGCGACTGAACAAATCAACTAGCTGCCAATTTTCTGCTTTCGTCCAAAGTGAGGGGTAATGTAGTTATTAGCTAATCCACATAACTCCTTGCTGTCAAGTTGGAGTCAACTCATAGCTGACACTCCAGAGAGTTTTTGTTGTTGTTATATGGCCTCCAGTTGACTCCAACTCATTGCGACCCTATGTACAACAGCTCCGAACCCTGCTTTTCCTGTGCCAATTTCGCTCTCTCTGATTCACCTGCCCTCATTACCCCAGTCACTGAGTCAGTGCATCTCATCCAGGGTCTTCCTCTATTGTGCTGTCCCTTCACCCTTCTAAGCATGGCATCGCTCTCCAAGGACTGGTCCCTCCTTGCAACATGCCCAAAGTATTCAGACAGAGTTTCAAAATCCTTGTCTCCAAGGAGCTGCCTGGTTTCACCCGCCCCAGGACGGCCTGGTTTGTTGTTTTTTTTTTTGTTCATGATATATTCAATACTCTTGTTCAGCACCCCAACTCAAAGGCAATGATTCTTCTTCTATCATCCTTAGTCATCGTCCAACTCTCTGATGCAAAGTAAGTAATTGTGAGGACCATGGCTTGGATCAGACACACCTTAGTCTCCAGACTGACATCGTCTCTCTGAAAAAGTTTTTAGAGGCTATAAATTACATTGGAAAAGACCGGCCATTCTTCTTCTGTGAGCCACTGGTGGATTCGAACCACCAGAGAGGCACTCTCTTTGACTTTCGTGGTGCAATTCCTTACAGACCACACCACCAGAGATCCCTGTTGTTTAGCTGATGGGTTTTCGAAAAGAATTATTTTACATTGGTTTGCATAAGCAAATAGGGTTTGTTTTGTTTTTTTAATTTATTTTATGTGTGTACCATCAAATTGGATCTGACTGGTACAGGAGGCAACTGTTCCTCCCTCTTCAGCAGAGCATCTGGTGGGTTTGAACCGCGTACCTCTGGGATTGCAGTGCAGTTTCCTGCCACTAGGCTACCAGAGCTCGCCGTGTAATCTAGCCATTGGATGTTGGTGTATAAACCAAAAGAGTTTACAAAATTGATCAACTCTGCTTTAACAAAAGTCCCTGCTTTCTTTGTTTTTAGGTATGTGAATAAGATTTCTCACTTCTTGTACTGATATAAAGAGTAGAAGTAATACTGATCTCTGATCTCTTCTAACTATAAGTGGCATTTGTCTACAGACACATGAACTAATGTTGCTGCTCTAAGGTACTGCCGATTATGACTCACAGCGAGCCCAGGAGTAAGAGATTTGAACGCCTTCCGATCCTGTGCTATCCTTATCATGTCTGACACACTGAAGCCCACTGCAGCAGTCACTGTGCCAATCCATCTGGTTGAGGGGCTTTCTCCCTTTCCTCGACCCTCCACCTTCCCAAGCATGATGTCCCTTTCCAAATTTTCTGCAGTTTAGCATCCACAGATTTCTTCCCTTCACCGTGACTTTGGGTAACTCCTGCGTTGGCAGCTAGGGCTCAAGTTTACTCATCTTTGTCTCCAAGTCTGATTCCTCAGAAGTGGATAAGGAGAATTAAGCAAGGTTAAATTTGTAAAGCCCCTGGCCCGGGACTGGGCACCCACTGCATTTAGCAAATCCTTGCTCATGGAGTCAGAACGACTCTAGCTGACTCTGCAGCAGGTTTTTAAAGGCAGTAAATGGCCAAGGGGAGACTGCCCATCTTTCTCCCAAGGAGCAGCATGTGGATTCGAACTGTATGCCTTAGGATTGGCATTAGAACTCCTTACCCACTAGGCTCCTAGAGCTAGCAGTTTAAAGACCGAAATTCCCAGTGATTAGAGGCATCTGGGCTTCCTAGCACGTCCCTCTTTTTTTTCTGGGGGAACAAAGGAGAGTTCTCGCATTCCCAGGTCTCCTTTACGTAAGTTGACAACTTGGGATGAAATCATGCACGCCTCCTTCCAGCAGCTTGGGGGTGCTGTTTGTGGGCTCCCCAGTCCTAAAGGGAGGGAGCGGAGGAGAGAGTCCAGGAGCTATGAGGTCATGCTGACCGATCCGCATCTGTCAACTGCGATACAATTACTGGGACAGTAGGGTTTTTTCATGACATTCAGACCTGCTCTCACTTCCTTCTCCCTCCCCAGCGCACTGGCCCCTTTCACAACAAGGGAGCGTCTCAAAAGTCCTGGATCCTGAGGAACGTGACTGCAGCTGCCACAAGGCCGAACGAGATAGGGAGAAAAACCCAAGGGCGCCCTTCCTGCTGCTGCAGTTTGGAAATCAGATTCAAGACTCAGTTCTTGAAATTCTTTCAGGACAAAGCAGTTTAGTGTTAAGAAGCTTTTCAGTTATCCAAATGACAGTCAAAAGATTTGATGCAAAGCTTATGGGGGCAGCAAATTGATGGTGGTGGTGTGGAGTCAGCGGGGTTTTCAGAAGCATTAAAAATCCAGGGAGGAGATTGCCCATCCTTCTCCCGGAGCCGCTGGTGGATTCAAACCAAGTACCTTTGCGTTGGTAGCACAATAATTTAGAAAAGGATATTGAGGGGGCACGATTTAAAGACTGCATCCAATGCCACTGATTTGTGTCCCTGGAAACTGCTGTATGGCTGTGTCTTTTGATGTACATGATGTTCTTAGATGCCCGTCAGGTTGTCTACAACTCACAGCAAGCCAATGAACAACAGATCTGACCCTGAGCTGGCAAGATCTCTGAGTTGCTGCAGCCCATTGTCACAGACACTGTGTTAATCATCTCCGTGGGGTGTGTGTGTGTATGCCTGTCTTTCTGTGACCCTCCACCTCTTCCAGCAT